TGCCCCGTCCTTCGAGAACTGGAGTTCCTTCCTGCCTTTTGCGGAGTTTGCACTCAACAATGCCGAACACGCGTCGACGGGATTGACTCCGTTTTTCGTCAATAACGCGCGTCATCCACGTGTCCCCGCACAACTTGCTGTGGGCCAACCCACGGCGACTGATAATTTCACTATGGAGGGGGAGGAATGTGATAACCCTGCCCAACCGGTTCCGATACTGGTTCAACCACCGGTTTCCGGTGAGACAACGGTTCGTCTACGAGTTCAGCTACTCCTGCAGTAGACATCAACGCGGTGACGCGTTTACAGTCGAAGAAGATCCTCGCACCCGCGCAATCCACGTCGTCGCTGTTAGTTGACTGGACACACCGAACGCTGATCGCTCCAGCACAGCCACACTCGACTGTGGCTAACTACGCGCCGAAACCCCCAGCACGACCCGCTGACAAGGCAGCGGTATCCGACTTTGTCCTTCATCGCCAATCGGTTACCCGATTCGTCCGTGACGCGCTACAACTCGCGGTTGACAAGCAGAAGGAAAACGCTGACAAACGTGGCCGCAAGAACACAAGTGCATTCAAGATTGTTGAGCGGGTATTACTCTCAACGGATGGAATTCGTACCTCTGCTATTACGAACCTAGGCGCGAGCAAACTCGCGCCGCGCTACATTGGGCCATTCAAAGTACTACGAGTTATGGGTGATGCCTACACGCTAGACATTCCTACGTCGCTACGACTACACCCGACGTTCTACGTCGGGCGACTTAAGAAGTATCTTCCCGCGATGATCCCGGAGGCGGAGCAGGAGCATGCGTTGAGCGGCCCTCGCGATGAGCCTGTCGAGCCAGCGTCCCATCTGTCCCAGTTCCCCGCTCGCGCGGAAGAGCTCCACCCCTCGGTCCGCCAAACACCTGCGCCTCCAGACTACGCAGTCGCTGCAAGAGCTCACGATTCGACTGCCGCAGACTACTCGCCGTCGCCTCGGCGTTCCGAGAGCTCTCAGCCGCCCGCTCGGCCTCCTCCTGTGCGTCCCGAGAAGTGTTCAGCGCCTGCTCAACGTCGTCCTGGTCAACCAGGTCGCGTCGAATTCCACCGCGACGGTCCTCCGCCCATCGTTGACTCGAATGGAGATACGTGCTGGATTGTGGACCGTATTGTTGATCACGAAGATCCGCCCCGCGCGCGTCACTCGACCAAGTCGTCAGCTCAACACGCGGCTCCCGCCGCGCGGAAGTATAAGGTACGATGGCTCGGGTTTCAACCTGCTGATGATACGTGGGAGCCTCGCGCCAACTTGCTTCGTGACGTTCCTGATGTCGTCCACGACTACGACTCCAGCCTCGAGTCAAACGCGGCCGCGAGCGACCTCGCGGCGATCGAGAACGCGATCGACTACGTGCCCTTCGAGACGTAGAATGCGCAGGAGACGGGCTCCGTCGCGAGCGCTGTCGGCGCGAGCCGCCGCGAATAGCCGCTTGAATGAACTCGGAGAGTGAGCGCTTTATACTTCTCGATCCAGCGTGTTCGGTCGGCATGAGCGGATACTCGACAATATGCTGATCCCACTCAGCTTGCGTCGGGCGTCGCCCGATGTCACACGAACTGCAACCTTCGCGTACGTTGACATAGCACAAACGGTCTTCGGTCCAAGCGTCGTCGCAGACTTTCAGGCGCAGATCACCGAGTGAATGCTCGGCTTGTAAGGCTTCGCGATCACCGAGCCAGCCGACGACACTTTCTCCAGCCTCATGCATCCGATTCCACCGTCGGATGAATGCGCACCATGATCTCTGCAAAGCTTCGTACGTCGCGCCGTCGAGTGTTTTGTTTCGGAGACGCCTGAAGCGCCGAAAGTGGTCCTGCATGGTGTCCAACGCGTCCGGGGTCACCGCCCCGGACAAGTCGTACAGCGCCTACGGCTTCATATCCTCGTTCATTACGCCGGGCCGAACCCCAAGTCGACTCACGCTCTCAGGTGCGATATCAGCGGTCCACCCATTGTTCAGCGTCGTCGCCGACGCTGGGAGCCGTCCGCGTTGTTCCGCTTCCTGCCTGGTTCGCCGCCCCCGTCTGCTGCGCCATGTTGTTCTCGTCCGCGCAAGTTGTATTGTGCTGCTCCTGGGCTTCGCAGGAGCTCCCGCCCGTCAAGTTCTCAAGCGTTCTCTTCTCCGCCATTTCCCAGTTTTTTTCGATTGTTCTCCGAAGCGCACCCCCGTTAGGTGATTGCTGTCTTAAGAGGGGGGTGATGTAATGGGCTCTCCCAAGCTGCATATGTAGGTAGTTTTATAGGTTCTTTGTAGTGGTTCACACCATTACATAAGTAGGTAGATTTGCATTACAAAAGTAGGTGCGGCAGCACACGAGTAGCGTGTGCTGAACTGCCGTCACCTTATTGGTTGAAATATGGGGAGCCATACCCATAATCAACCAATAAGGAGTTGACGTGTATTTGAGTGGTCAGGGCAAGCTGCCCTGGACCTAAATAAAAAACAGAGTTGATTTTCCTTCAGACTAAGTACTTGGTTTCAGTATCACTGAACTTGTACGCTTCCTCATCACTACGTGTAAGCAAGTAACGGACACCCCAGGCCCGTTACATCGCCAAGATGACCAACTCAGTTAACTTGACGTCTAGCTGCATTTTAACGATGAATACCAGACCTTTGAGAGTTTGTGACGAGTACCGTAGTTTCTTTGCTGCTGAATTTGAGGCTCGCAGAGAGCGTGAGAGTCGCGAGCGCCTCGACGGCGAGAAGCGCATACAAGCCCGAGTGGTTGTGCTTCAGGAACAGCAAGCAAAGTCCCAGTGGCAAGTAGCGGAAATGATAGCCACGGCAATGCAAACTTTGGCGGTTGTGCTAGGAAATGCCAGCAACGCTAACATCAGCTAGGCCTGCAACAAGACAAACGCCAAAGAGTGGTAATTATGACTTCATATACATTTTGTGATTATGGCGCTATGACGGCGCTTACGGCTTAAAAAAATAAGAGATCTATTTGCAGCGTAAGCTTACTGTTTTGTTTAACGAAGCAATTACTCAGTCGTCAAACTCGCTAGCTTCGGGCGATGCTCCTAGCCTACTACATTTCAAATATATGAGACTGGAGGTATTGGCTGGAGCCGCCGACAAATAGCTCCAGACCAAAACAAATAGCTCCAGCAACTACAGCTCTCTAATAAAAGAAAAAATGAGCATTGCTGGATCTAAAAATCTTATCACTATATTCATGTGATAACTTTTCTCGTGCAACTGTCGCAGCCGTGATCCTGGCGGCAGCAAGCAAGTACCACGCTGACCAGGAGTTCTCAAATCGACCCAATCTGTCAAAAGTTAGCGTACTGGTATTATCGTTTAATAAACTACAGTACGATACAGTCGACCTATCCATTTATAGTAAACTACGTGCGTTTTCTTAGCACGACCACCGCTCATTAAAAAAGAAAGCTCACGTTACCCTAGTGTCGACATAGCATTGCTTAAAGAATGTAGAGCTACGCGCCATCACTTCCACGACCGGTAGATGGATACGCAGAATCTTCACTACGATGCTAGGCGCAGCGTGGACTCTGCGTTCCAGCTACCGATCGTGGTGTTTTGAGCTTAAAATCTTGTTTGTGTCTATGGCCTCGTTCGTGATGGCATTGCTGCGATATGCGTCATGACTCCATTGTTGACAGACATTACAGCTTTTGGTGCTTCTTTAAATAGTAGTAATGATAGAAACCTTGAAAACCTGGCTTGGGCCAAAGCAACCACAGATCGCTAAAGCTCCCAAATACACGTTATAAAATAACAGGAATAATTAGTGCTCGTAAAACCTTCAATATATGTCACAGAGTATATTATGTAGTCTTTGGCTGTGTTTCCCAGAGTTATGATTTTGACATGCCTCCCCGCTGTACTGGGCTGTTTTTAGAGCGGCCATGCGCAAGCGATTCCTGCCGCCTGACAGCGAGTATCGCTTACGGGAGCCCACGTCACTTCATGATTACGTGGCAGAGTCTTAAAATTTGCTCATCCAATGCACGGTGCAAATCAGCCAGCTGGAGCTGCGTTTCTACTTCCAACAAGGGTTAAAGCCGGCGACCACAAATCATTTGCGAAAACATCACCCGACGACGCTCGATGAGACTATCCAACTAGCGCTTCGTTTTGATCACGAATGACAAAGAGCCGCTGCAACTAATGATGACTGGTAAAGTCAGCGACGTGTCATCGCTGCAAGAACGTCGGCCACATCGCTCCAAGTTGCCCGACGAAATAAGCACATTCCTTCAAAAGAAGGCCGTGTGACGTATCCGTACATATTATTACTGTACGCTTATGAACATGCAAAAGAATGGTACGAATAAAATGGGTACAGCTTAAGGTAAAGGTTACGGTAAGCTTACGGGACGAAATTTAGCGACTAAACAAGACTAAAGGAGTGGACACGAGCGAGTGTAGACGTCCTCGAAGCTCTAGCTAACAATAGTCACTTTTCATTTTGCCGAGCAACGCACAAGCTTCCTCAACCTATTTCCTTACTGGACTCCACGAGCGTCAACAAAGCAAAATCGTAGGCGCCCGTGCTGATGTTGAGGTGTGGGTGGTTCTAAAAAATTTGTCACTTTTTAAAAAAATAATTAAAAAATTATCCCATCAAAATCTGCTTTCGTCATAGCTCTTTGTTTTTCATCGGTATTTTCAATCTATTTTTACAGTGCAACCATAGCTTACAATCCCGTGGCCGTACATTATCAAGTGACCTTTGGGTAGGTCCTCACATCTCCTCTCGCGTCACATTCCGCTAAAAATTGACGATACCAGTTCACCCCAGATGACATGATATCATCGTGACAAATTGGGGCGACTCCTCCGTCATCTGAGGATGATAGTCGGCGTAATTTTGTTCCACGACAAAAAAAAACAAAGCTCGAGATCCTCGTCTAGCTATCCGCAGTATGTTGAAGGTTGATTTTTGCGGGCCGCTGTTGGCCTTGATGCGAGCGCGTCGATGCGTGCCTCGCTGGTAGCGTAAGATGCTGCATAATTGCTTGAATTCCGCTTGCTGGTGGGCAAGAAGTGCGATGACTTCTCCAAATGACTGCAGCGGGCTGGTCTCTTCCATAACGGTGCAGGTCTCGGCTCGAAGGTCGAAGTAGTGGAAAACAAGTCGTTGTTGGACTCTTCAAGTGCTACTATGTAATAGATTGCGGAAGCTTGTGTGTTGTTCGGCAAAATGAAAAGTGACTATTGTTAGCTAGAGCTTCGAGGACGTCTACACTCGCTCGTGTCCACTCCTTTAGTCTTGTTTAGTCGCTAAATTTCGTCCCGTAAGCTTACCGTAAACTGTACCGTAAACTGTACCCATTTTATTTGTACCATTCTTTTGCATGTCCATAAGCGTACAGTAATAATATGTACGGATACGTCACAAGTAGCGTCGCCCCAATCATCCTTCCTAAAGCGGATGACTCTGACATCACTCAGGGTGTGCAGGCCAATTTTAGACCAGTTTCAGGATATCGTCATGGAACTATGGGATATCCGGGAATGTGTGGCACCTTTCAGCATGGACAACTCGTCCGTGTGTGCGGCTAGCAAGGGCTTGTGTATTGGCGGCATGGGAGGTGCTTTGGTTAAGGAAATTGGCCAAGGAGACGTGGACGATGTCCTCATTGGTATTGTGAATCAGGAGGCTAACTGCGACGATAAAGGAAAACCTACTGTGCTTTCGCGTGTGTCGACTGCTGTTGAATGGATCAAGTCTGAATGTTCCGTGACTGGAATCCACTAAGCTCTCATGTTTGTCGTTGGTATTTTCACTTAATTTTTGTTAATTGCACAGTCATTGTGAATACGCTTTTTACCTTGTATACAGTGAGTGTTATAATGAGATTTGTTTTATAAAAGGAGTCTACTTTTAACTTTTAGTAATATAATAACAAAACCTCTCCTGAATGAAAATAAAAACTTGAAAGATTTGAAATTCTGTCGTCCGGGAGAACTGCCACTTTGGAACAAACTTGACGAAAAAAAGGACATTTTGTAAACCTGGAAATATGAACCATTTGTATTACAAATCGATTTTACGTTAGCTTAGAACAACATTTAATAGCGAAAGGAGAGGAGCGTAGAAACACAAACAACTAATTTTAGATTGAGAGTTGCCACCACGTGCGGCAAATTTCGACACACTTGGCGGGATCGGCGTTGACCCAGCCGAGCTAACTCCCGGAATGGATCAAGAAAGCTTTTTAATTTCATTTAAAATTACAGAAATGGCCGTGGATAGGACCAGGGGTTCCGAAATATTATTTCTATTAAATACTTTTGTATTTTGGCCGAAAATTATTTATTTTCAGCTTTGCTTTGAAGGGTTGCAATATTTGTTTTTGTGGTCTGTTTCGCCAATAACCCTACGGCGGCATTGCAGCCTGAGACCGGATCACAATCACTTGTCCATACCATAAAAATTCCTATATATTTCCTGCAGTATAGCCAATTATTGGAGTCACCTCTGACTGTGATGGTGGACGCTAGCCCTGGACAAGCTGTCATAACCACGAGCACTTCAGGACAGGCTGCTGATGCTCATGGGCAACAAGTATTCGACCACAAGCTGCAGCATGCAGCTGTAACTGCACTTGTAACTGCAACTACAGCTAGCCTCTCCCTGGACTGGCAGGCGAGAGCCACGAAGAGTAGAGACTTATACTACAGCTCAGTTCACATTTTGCTTTCAACAGCTCAATACACGTTGACTGTTGGTGGGAATTCCAGCCCCCCAAATCATGTGGAACGTCACATTGTTAGCAATAGTATCTGTGAAGCACGGAATGAGAATGCGCAGCGAAACGACGACGACGGCGAATGCCCGTCAACAAGGACGCGGCGGCGAGACAAGGTCAATGGCGAGTGTGCCAGTCACATCAACGGCTATTCTTCCATCTTGGATCACCGATATCTCTCAAGCCAAGCTGGTACAGGGGAGGAAGGAGCGTCGTGAGTACGAGGATGCGATCGCCGCTCGCTGTGCAATCTCAGGTGAAGACATAGCAAAGGCGATGATGACAGTCAAGAGTTCCTTCGACCATCAACTACTGAAGATGGTGTGCAAGTACGACTGGATCCATACCACTTGAAGTGGTCACGGAGGATCGAATTCTTAGTGAGATTGACAAGATTGTCAACACCGTAAAAAAAAGGGAGACAATGGCAATGTTGACGCGCTTTTCGATAATGAGCTTCGGATGAAACTAGAAGATGATGGTGTCAAGGCACGAGTGGTGGATTACTTGCAGAAGTGTGAGGAAATTATCTTGCAGAACGGTCTCCAAAGTACTTTCTCTACGACTATGGGGATGCCTCACAAATGCACAAACCTAAAGGAATATTTGCGACCGAGAGCTCTACGTGAGAATGTGGAGACCCACTTAGAAGCTCATCGACAAGAGTAGTACGAAGAACGACGTAGCTTTGTACAAGCTAGTAAGGGGAAAGGCTCTCGAGCAGGATGCTATACACCGCTCGATTGCGAGGAGCCAGCGACACGCGAAGCCAGACGGGAAGCTACCGCGGCACAGCGGCGTCGGTGTGGTGAAGAACGACCGTACCGTTGCCCAGGCAAAGCTTTGGACGACCAAACGGAAAGCACAGCCAGACGCTAGTGCAGCTCGTCGGAGTGAGGAACCTCAAACCACTGGATCTTCAAACGCGGCAGCCATGTGGTGGTTGTTTTATTTGCAGCAAGGATCATTGATTGAGCGAGTGTTCAGAAATTGGCGAAGCTGAGAAAGAAGAAATCATTGTCAAACGTGCCCCAAAAAGGCAACATGTCAAGCGATTTCGGGATAAGCTTTGTGCATCCTGTGAACACTTTGTCGCATCATGTTCATCTTTTTCGTAAGTCTGGTCGGTCTTCAGGGAGTGAGACAATGCGCCCTGTCCCCTCCAAACGAATGACCGTGTCCAAGGCGCAAGGGCACGGTAGTCCTGTAAACAGTTCAACCGGTGCCTTGTTGGCAAGGGATTGCACTGGTGAGTGGTTGAGACTTGACTGCACAAAGGGTAGCAACTAGGGCCGGTCCGAAGAACTCACTCTAAACTCCAGTATTAGCGCCTTCAGAACTTGTAGGATGTCTCTGTTTACTCGCTCGAAGCCATCATTTTCCCCCGGAGTGTAAACTAGTGTAAACTTCTGCTGAGATTTAAGTCGTCGACTGAGCTCTGCAATCACGCTGCTCGTAAGATGTGATCCACAATCACTAACCCAAAGTTGCGGTATCCCGAACCGACTGTACCAGTCAAGTATGGCACTGGCAGCTACTTCTGAAGTTGGATCATCACAAGCCACTAACTCAACGAAATGTGTAGCTTCGTCTTTTAGAATCAGAGCGTAGCGAGATGCTCCAAACGATTCACCAAGTGTAAGAAAGTATCTGTGCTAAGTAGTGTTTCGCTCAAAGGTATAGTGAGTTTCACTAAAAAGCCTTGGAATAATGGCGCCACCTTCCACGTGCAAGCACAATAGGCACTGCTGACAGAAGGCACGCACTTGCTCCATAACACCACTCATCTCGAACAGCCGATTCAAATGGTTCGCCAAGACGTGCATGCCACGGTGACCACCACAATGTACCACGTTGAATTACGTCAGCAGCCTTAGATAATATCCAAATTCTCCCGTGTACTCGCCACACTCCATCCCCATCCTTTGCCGCTGGTCTTGGGCTTTATGTGCTCTTTGTACTTCAGCAATTTCTGGAAGTGAGGGCCACACGAACCCTTCCGAGTCCAGTGGCCGTGGATCTATCGGCCCAAGTGTCTCTGGTGCTTCACTGGATAAAATGCCACGTTTCCGTTTGCTACGCGTGATCCGTTTCGCAGCGCCGCGCTGTGCACTGTACTTCGGCTGACCACCCCACCTTGAGATGAGATCGGCCCTACACGTTATTCACTCTCTCAATGTGCCCGATCGAGTATCGATACTCCACCAGTTTCGTCGACCAACGAGGTAATTTATCGCGCATTGTAGTTGTGGGTTCCTTGCTTGGCGCGAACGAGTGAATAATTCTTTGGTGGTCACAGTAAATCTTAAATCCCTGTGGCCTCAAAGGCAGGTATTCCAATTTCTCGCAGACATGCACAATAGTGAATGATTCGTTTTCGATGACGCTCCAATTGAGCGCTGACCCCGAGAGCGATCCACCCATGCAAATTAACAGCTCGTGTTGCTGCTCTTGACTCGGTTTGTCATGTTGCCACTGCCCAACTTGAGTTATCACGGGGTTCCAGTCCGTGTCTGATGCGTCCGACAACAAACAGAGTTGCTTGGTTGGGTCTGGGTACGCTAGCATTGCTGAGTGCGAAAGCAAATCCTTCACTTTCGTGAACGCCTCCAATTCATCTGCAGAGAAACTTACTCGAATACCAGCAGCAGCGCTCTTGCTGCGTTTTGTACCCTGAAGCGATCGATCCAGCAGTTTTTGTAGAGGCTTCACCACTCGAGCGTAATCAACAAGTCCGTCACGCATCCAGTTCGTAGCATAAACGAACTGCTGCAGCTCAGCCGCTGTAAATGGCACTGATCTCTTCTGAAGCGTCTCAATACGTTCACGGTCGTGGCCCACACCGTTCTCGTTGATTATCCGACCGCACCACTTGATCTCAGTCTGGAACAACTTGCACTTTTTCGGGTTTAACTTGAATCCTACTTCGTCAAGTCGACGCAGAATAGACTCGATAACGCTCATTAGCTCACTGACCGTATCACCAAATGCCTGTAGATCATCTATCCAAACAAGCACAGAGTCGTGAAAGTAATCCTTAAGTACTTCCTCCATTGTCGATTGAAAAAAGCAAAGCAGCATTCGTGCAGCCCTGCGGCACTCTGGCAAGAGTGAAAACCCCACGATCTGTCATGTACGAGAGCAGTTCTTGAGAGTCAATGTGCAAAGGAAGCTGCCAAAACCCTTGATAAAATCAAAGATCGCATATAATTTATTTCCTTTGCGTTGATGCAGTCGTACTTGCAGGCTGGGCATGACACCTGCAATGAGTTCAGTCATATCGTTGAAAGGACAATAGTAGTTGGTTTGCCGGAACTCGTCACTACCAGGGTTTCTTACTGGCAGAGCTGCACAGGCCCATCTACTTGACTTGTTCTCCTTTACCCATCCCAGACGCACTAACTCGGCGTTGAACTGGGCTATAAATGCAGACTTTCCAGAGCTATATTGGCAAACTTTGCACCTGCGAGCAAAGTTTGCCAATATAGCTCTGGAAAGTCTTGCATTTGGTTTCAATCGAATCTTTAGCGGAGGTACCTTTGTAGGAGGGTCGTCTCCAAGAATTAGTCTCCATCCGTTCAAAGAGAATAGAATGGCACGTAACCGTTCTTCTTCGGCTCCAGGTGAAATAATCCCGCGGTTCAGGCAATCTGTAACCATCCCATCGATCACTTCTACAACGTTCCCATCTTGTGTGACGCTACGCACAGGCACTCCAGTTGGCTCTCCAAATGAGTCATCATCATCCCAATTCTGCGATGTGAGCTGTTCTAGCTCTCGATCGACATCGATCCCTAGCTCCGCCAAATACACTCGGCCCACAATCAACTCATCATCATCTGACTCGACGATTAGGCACCGCTTCTGGTCCTGACATCGAACTGGACCGGCGGCTGTGTTTAAACACGAATACACATTCACGCTGTGAGCTGCAGTAGGAATCGCCCCACCTACTCCACTGGCTGATCCAATTCCACTTGCGCAGTAGCACAATCAAGATCATGTAACTCTTCCACCATCTTCTGAGAGATTATATTCCACTCTGAACCGCTATCGGCGCAGTAATGAACCTCGACCACTGCATTTAATGTAGCAGTCGGTCGGTTTGGTCGTGGGTCTTCTCACGCGGGTTTACGCGTTTGTGGAAGATGTGCGGAAACGTCAGAATAAGCGATATCGGTCCCGGTATCACTATGAGCGTGAAGTCAATTTTGCTGTCGGTGACTACGTTCTTCGGTCTCGGGTAGACGAAAAACAGCACTTCAATAAACTCAGGGTGACATGGGTCGGCCCGTATCGAGCGACTGGTGCGGCTGAGTACTACTTCATTGTGGAGCACCTAGTGACAAGAAAAACGGTGAAGGAACACCCTTCCCGACCCAAGCACTACGCCGATTCTTCACTTAACACCACAGCCGATTTAATCGATCACGTAGCGTCACAAGGAACATTACTGACAGTGGATTCACTAGTGGACTACCGCTACAACAACAACATGAAAGCGTTCGAAGTCAAGGTCAAGTGGCAAGGTCTTGAAGATATTGAAGATTCTTGGGAACCAGCAAAGACTCTCAGCAAGGACGTACCACAGCTCATGACAAACGACGCCAACGACACAAACGACGAACGTCTACGGCACGCAGTAGCAGCCGTACTACATCGTAAGGCAATGAGGACAAACAAAATTTCAGCACCATGGCTTCGACTTAACATTTCCTGATACGACCTATCGACGGACAAGGCCCTCAACGGAGTACAAGTGCATCGCTGTCTACGAAAGCTGGGGGGGGGCGCTGTGATGGTGGACGCTAGCCCTGGACAAGCTGTCCTAACCACGAGCACTTCAAGACAGGCTGCTGATGATTATGGGCAACAAGTATTCGACCACAAGCTGCAGCATGCAGCTGTAACTGCACTTGCAACTGCAACTACAACTAGCCTCTCCCTGGACTGGCAGGCGAGAGCAACGAAGAGTAGAGACTTATACTACAGCTCAGTTCACATTTTGTTTTCAACAGCTCAATACACGTTGACTGTTGGTTGGAATTCCAGCCCCCAAAATCGTGTGGAAGAACGTCACACTGACTGCCAGATAGGTAACATTATTTGGTTTTGCTGAATCCTCCAACAAAATAACAATAGCATTTTCGGAACCCCTTGATAGGATTCCTCTCCAGGAATGCATCAAATGCATCCAAATACGTGCATCCAACTACGTGCATCTAACAATGCTACTTGCTAACGCCAAACGGCAGAAGAAGATGAAAAAACGAGTCCACCTGACACCCTGAAGCAAAGCTTTAAGGGGAAGGGAGCAGCTGAATTGCCCTGACGCCCTTTCTTGGGGGCTCTCCAGGATAACACGCGACTCAAAAGATGAAACTTCAGTATCCGAAGATGGCCCCGAATTATATGTTGCAGAAAAAATAAATGCTATAAAAACTAGTCAAGATGTTTGACCAGTTGACTATCGGGCCAGCATATTCACGGGGATCATGAAGAGTTAGCAAGATATTGCTCCAATATAGTTTTAAAAACGGCATTTTTTTATTTTTGGAAGTGCTCATATTGACATTTTTATTACGGCAAAACTTTGCCACCAATACTGTACTTTCCGACCTCTGAGTTGATGAAAAAAGTTATCAGATCAAAATTCAAAAGTGGCTAGGTAGTTGAAAATGAGTTCCCGAGGTAAATCGCACTTGCTCGGCCTCCTGGGATGGCGCACTTCGACAATTTTAAGGCGTATCACTTTGAGGTTCTCCCTATGAGGCCTCTGTGCAGTGATCGCAAAGTTGCGTTCTTGAGCGTCATGAGGACTGAATACGCTGAAAATAGAAGGAGGAAACACTCGTCGCTGTTGCCTGCACTCCAAGTTTGCTGCGCCACATGCAACTCGCAAGGTTTACATTCGAGCGTACAATTTCTTCGAGACTAGACGTTATCACCTGCCAATTTGAGTTACTTAAGCTTGGTTCGCCGTACGTCGTTATATTTGTTAAAATGGCCATCAGGTTGTTTTTCACTGTCAGTCAAAGGATACAGGGTGCACCACTTTAATGTGAGTTGGTGAGTCGGGAACATCGTGAATGAGTCTGTCAGCAATCGATCATTACCACTACAATGGCCATAAGTTTGGGTTCAGTAAGCTCGGGAACTGTAGAGCGCGTAGCAGGAGGTGATGCATTTCTGCCTCGTTTGAGAACGTAATGAGGAGAGGTCTTGCCCCCAATTGGGACGGTGCAGTCGCAGCCAAAGCCGCTTCACGCGACGAAATCGATTGTCCGTTCCTAGGCTAGATCATGCGCACTACTTGTGTGGTGGTGGCGGGCCTGTTGACTCAACAGGCCCTAGGCGTCAACAGTGTTGACGCCCATGCTGTAGCTTTCATAGTCTTTCCACGATCTCGTGGTCTTTATGGACCCTGTGAGCCTATATTTGAAAGTTTCAATTTGAGACTTTCTATTATTATGTGTGGAAGCTTGTGTATACCTGGCGGGTGCGCAGCAGTAGTGTAGGGCCACAGCGAGGTGAGAACGTAGATAACAGCAACGCAGGAACACGAAGTCTTATTGTCCACGAGGATGTTTGGGATTGAGGCTCGAAGGTTACAACCCCCTCTCAGCTATACACACAGTATGGCCGTATAGTAGATCATCCTACGTATCCAGTAACACTCAGAACTGCTGTTGTGAGAGCTCGACACGCCATCCTCACAGTATTGTACTGGCAGCTTGCAGCCTTGCAGCCTTGCAGCTTCGAAATGCGAAAGCTGAGCCATGCGACGTGAGGAGAGTCGCCATTATGAAGAGAGGAGATCCATTACACGTGTATGATTACAGTTTTGAGCTCCATAATGAAGAGAGATCAAGCTGTTCGTACTCACGAGCTGTAATGGTCCCACCTTGGAGAAATCCTTTCTGTACGAAACGCCGTTACTGCCTCGTCGCCCTATAAAAGCATAAAAGTTGTGCGCCCGTCAACTGTCGGTCAGTGCCTCGTTGCCAACGACGGTTAAAATCACTTGAGGCGTTTAATTCCGAGTCACCGCTGTGCGCAACACTCTGGCTTGGATTTTTTGATGCGTTGTCCGGCGCGAAAAGAATATCGAAATGGAAAAAAATGACAGATCCTGGTACTATTCAATTAGCACTCGCCAGATAATTAGATGTGCAACTTGGCCAGAGTACCAAGATCTGGCTAATTTAGTACATGTACACCAGAATCTGTCAATTTCCGTCTCAAAAGTTAAAAGGTGTTCACTCCAGGACAAGGATGTGAAGCGTGGGTGCAATCAAGGCCATCGCCGTCGATGTGCCAGGGGCGGGAAAGGATTGTTTCGTTGCTGTTTACGTCGGCAACTGCTCCTTTCGATACACTCATGCAATCCTACCTATCAAAAGTCACTCAATATTATTGAGTGAACTTTGAGTCAATAATGTTCGTCACCTCCATCCATCTCTTAGCTAACCGATGGAATCGATAAATATCACATTATGATTCATTGCTGGCAACTTCGCTTGGCTTGTTGCTCCTTTGAGTCGTTGGACATGTTACCGTGTTGCCTTTTGGATTGGCTTTTCGGTTACCAACGGTGGCCCGTTTCGACCATTACACACGCTGCCTGTCAAACACCTCACGGATGCTATATTAGAGTTTCTGACCTGTGATTGGTAGAAACAATGTTCCGTCCTGCATTAAACCATGCAATGGTGTATACTTTTCCTGTTTCCAGCGATACTCACTCTTTTTGAACCTGATCCGCAGCTTGTCTCCCCCTCTTTGGTAGAAGCCACAAGCCAATTCTTACCCTTCAGGAGCGTGAAGGCAGTATATCCCCCAACTCTTTATGATGAGTACAGCCACCGCCATGCAGTCGGCGGCGGAGCAGGCCGAGGCCGAGGCGCAACTGGCCTGGGAGCGCGAGATGGAGCTGGCAGTGCAGGGTCGCGGCCGCACACGCAGTCGCTCCATCCTCGCGGACGACGAGGACGAGAATCAGAGAAGCGACCGCAGGAGACGCGGCACGGCGCTTCCTGATGATGTGCCGGCCTCAGAGAGCGCTCAGGACGCCGATAGACGCTCTAGAGCGCGTTGCTTCAGCTCTCGCGAGGCTGGAACGAGCGAGGACGACGATGCGCGAGCCAGGAGACGCAGCTGCTCGTTCTCGGCTCTGGAGCCTCCCAGAAACCTCGCGAGAGTCGATTCAGAGACAGAAGAAGATGCCGAGACTATGGCGAAGCGGGCCGCATCGCTTTCTAAGATCTACTTGGCCGGATCGGCTCCTGTGGACGTGTCCAAGCTGCAGGATGATAGTAAAATCGTGGGAGTTAAGAAGGTGGAGGTAGTCCAACCCACAGGTGCGCTGTCCGCTGCAGCGCTGGACGCTCTTTCCGAGGGATTGCAACTGTCCGTGGACAATAGTCCCATGCCGCCGTCGGGATACGGAGATGAGCAGCTCACGGAAGAACAGCTGGAGGAGAAGAAGATGGAGGAGGAGGAAGACCATAAACTCAAGGCGGAGAAGCTCACCGCCAGGAGGTCGCTCAGTGTGAGAGCCTCACTGTTTCGAAACAAAATGTTCAAGAGCACCTCGAGATTACTGGGGAACTCGGAAGAGGGCGCCGAGTTGGAAGCGGCAAGAATTGCCGGACAGAGAACTACTGGCGCTGAGAAGCTGACGAACGAGGTGACGGCGGAAACAGTCCCCGTGGTCCCGAAGAAGAGGCATAAACTCAAGTTGTTGCTGCTTGGAGATAGCGGTACGTTAATTACCTGGCGTGGACATGTGGAGTTTGGTGCGATACTGACCATGTTTTGTGATGGGTTATACCCTACAGGTGTCGGTAAAACGAGTTTGATGCGCGTATTCTCTGGTGATGAGTTCTCCGAGTCGATGCTGGCCACTGCTGGGTACGTAAATGCTGTGGGTGTGGAGATTAACCTGACAATCGCATTTAACCTTTTATATAACCTCTTTGTAGTGTGGATTTCAAGCTTCGACATATTAATGTTGCGGACGAAGCGATCACTCTCCAGATCTGGGATACCGCAGGTCAAGAGCGTTTCCATCGTATCACTGCTAGTACGTTTGGAGGGTTTTCAAATGTTTTTTTTTCTATGGTTTTCTAACGCTTTGGCGTCTTTGCAGCATATTACAAGGGTGCGAACGGCATTGTCCTCGTGTACGACGTTAGCGACAGACGCAGCTTCGACAGTACGTGGCTGGATAGACTTATGGATGACCGTGCGAGATGATTTATACTGATCGTAACTGTGTGTTGCAGATGTTGGTTACTGGATGAACAACATTCGACAGTACTCGACTCCGACGCAGATGCCTGCGATGCTGCTCGTAGGAAACAAAATCGATCTGCCAAATCGCGTGGTGACGCTGGAGGAAGGTCAAGCAGCTGCAAGCCAATATGGCTGCCGATTTATTGGTACGTCGATGAAATATTGCAACAGCATTTCTGATATCAGCTAAGCTTAATTTTTGTTTAATTTTTTTGCAGAAACGAGTGCAAAGACGTCAGAAAACACGAACGGCGCGCTCGAAACTATTGCGCGTGATGCGTACATGATGAGTGTCAACCGTAAGTGGACACTGCTGTTTAGACCCATTGGACTTGTTTCTAACTGCTTTATTGGACTTTCATTTTTTTTTCTTGCAGCCGCCCTTACACAAAAAATGGTGATGGACCGGGAGAAGACGCTGGCTGGTCGCCGTAATAAGGAAAATTGCGTTATTCAGTAGAGAACGTTCGCAGTTTTCTGCACCCTCTCCGCCCGATCAGTACTAAAGGCAATTAGTCTTGGTAGCAGTGAACCAAGTAAACGAACAGCGCGAAGAGATCAGGGAGTGCTACCGATAAGGGGGTAGACACACCCGGCCAGCAAGAGCACACAAGCCAATATTTAACTCATTGTAGCGGACGGCTGGCACAAAATATTAACAACTCGCAGCATCCGTCTATTGTTGTACTTTCGCTCTACTGCTGCTCTTGGTCTGATGGTCGAGTCTCCACCCGAGAGCGCAAGAACTTTTCGGCCTCGGCCTTGCGGTCCGGATTGTTCATAACCTCCATGAATTCACGGGTTTGACGCGCTCGGAGACGGTACGCAGTAGTGCAGAATAGCCTGCCAGCAACAATAGTTAGGTAACGCATTCGAAGTACTGTTGGATTTCTTTGGCTTTACCAGCTGCCCCCGCCGACGAGTCCGAAAGCGCCAATCGCCCAGTCGCACGACGAGCGGACGAGTCTGGTGGTGCGGAAACGGTGGGCGCCGATAACACTGGCGACGCCAATGCCCCACATGAGACCAGTGCGGAAACACGGAGGGTTCTTGAGCACCTCGTCGGTGGACGTGGACGACATTTTTAAGTTTCTTTTTGATAGATTTCTTAATTATTGTGCATTAGGATAAAACAAATTATTTGTTTTACTTTGAGTCGAAATTTCGCAGTTGATGGCGACGACATTTTCAAATAGAAGTAAATAATCAGTTTCTTTTCGTTAAATTTCTTGAGTATTGTGTAGTAAGATACAACAAATTATTTGTTTTGTGCCAGATTAGATCTATTTTAAGTCAAAATTTCGATAAAGAGCAGTTGATGGCGCCGAATCTGAGCGTTTTCGTTACATTCATGTGAACTTGCGACAGTTCGAGCATTATGAGGTCGATGATAACGATGGAAAGCATCAATGCCAGTACCTGCGAGAAGCACCGCGGCTACTCAAGGCAGTAGCCCACGTCGGTATCACAGCCTGAAAGAGTATTTTACCTGAGAATGGTAATATATCCGTAAGCTATCGAGAGGGTAGTTTGAATGGGAGCTCATGCCTCGATTGTAGTTCGCAACGATAGATACCTCAGGCGATCGGAGTAGTGAGTTATTGAAAAAGTATTATCCAATTTAGTGGAACGGAACACTATTTCACTCCAGGTGCAGATATAAAGCTGCACGGGATAAGACTGAAGATTTGACAGCGAGCTGACGGAGATTAAGGTCCCAGTGACAATGCAGTTGGTAACTAGCAGTACAAGTAGCGACGCAGTGTTGGCGTATCTTCAAAAAGGGCAGAAAGAAATTAGCACAATTCGGGCTCAGTGGCAGCAATATACTGACGGGGAGAGACTCGACCGCGATATGTATTTGTGCTGGAATTTATGAAAGTGGATCTAGGACCCTGGTAATTCACATGGCCAAGATGCTGGTGTCATTTGTGGAGTGTGCTAGTGCTGACCTTCGCAGCTTGCAACACCGGACGGAATACTTGACAGGCACCACAGGTCGCAAATTTTCGTCGCAGTGGCGACGATGTTATTATCGCGGTCTCGGATGGTGCAGACGTCGCTGAAGAAAACTGTGAGGTTCGCCTTGCATGGTTGCTTCACGGAGATGAGGCTACGCTCAAGCCATTCATCGAGGTAAGCACCCGTAAGAAAGATTGGTTTTATAATTCCGCCTACCAGCGCTATAACGACGCAGCTTCCCTTTGCTGTAGCCTCGTTGACAGCTCCGTTTGCGACCCGGATTGGTAAATGCGATGGCTCTAGGCCTGGCATGAGGTCACGGTTACCACATAAGTAATGTGTTGCTACTGAATCTAGTAGCCACTCTAACGAATTAGTTGACAAAGTTGTTGTGGCCACTGCAGTCCAGACATCACCTTCGTCGCTGGAATTAACTTCATCAGCACTACCACTTTTGTCGCACGCATTGACGCTAGTGGGCGTCCGAGGAAAGGTCATCGCTGATGACAGTGGCGACACTCCACCGTGAAAGGCCCAGACAGTAGGTTTGGCATTACTACATGCAGGAGTGTAAGGACTCGCAGGCGAAACTTACCGAGTGACTACGACGCGCTTGTTGTAATCTCGCTGAGAAAGCGTGCAAGGTAGACGAAATAGAAGAAGCAGAAAGAAAGAAAAGATGTTCCCACACCGGGACTCGAACCCGGGTCTGCTGGGTGAGAGCCAGCTATCCTAACCGCCTAGACT